GCCCCGCACCGCTTCACGAATCACGAATACGGTCGTTTCGCTGGAGCGATGCCCCAGGCAATCGGCCGTGCCCGAGACTCTTCATCCTACTTTGTTGTTTTCTGCGCCTTCCTAAGAAACATTTATTGGCACTGCCAAATATATCAATATTTTTGGGTTAAGCACAGGCTTGCACATGATCTTATAGGTAATCGGGTAGTGACCTGACCCAACCTGACGATGAGATAGGTGCAACTCCGGCTTAAATAAATGTTCAGAGTCCAAGAGTCTATCCATCTTTCCTTCTACGGCCGGTTCCGTTCCAATAGATCCTACCTTGATTCCGATCATTCTGAATATTCTGAGCTGGCTCGACGCTTAACCCTCGCCCTGGCAGGGGGGGGGGGGTCGATGCGACCCCCCCCTAAGGTTTTTCGAAGATAGCGTAAAAACGGCGGCGCGCAGCGCCGCCAAATTTGGCACAGCCTATGGGGCAACCTTTTTACATATGACCTGAAAATTTCAGGTCCGGGTGACCTTGGGTCAGGTCACCAGGTCAGAAAAACCGGTACAAGGTCATGGTCAAATTTCAATTTTCTTTTTGCACCTGTCCAACTCACAGTTTTGCACTGATTTCCTTCAAACTTTCAGGATGTGCTAAGTTCACCGAGTTGTATAACATATAGTTCGGGTTTTTTGAGGTCACTGACCTGAGGTCAGTTAGAGGTCATGGTGTCGTAATGTTAAGCCTATGGGAAAATACTAAATTCGGAAAATACTGGAGATATCCGCTTCGTTTTATCACTTTTGTGCTTTGAAACCACAGTACTTAACAGCAGGTCACTTGGTGCTTCTTTGTTTGGTGTACTTATCCATGGGTCAGGTCAAATGAGGTCAACTGAGGTCAAATGACGTTTTTGCCAATAACTTGGCATATAATGACGCTAGAGCTTCAAAAATGGTATCATTGTGTTCCTGGTGATCAGCCGAATCGAATGATATGCAATATGATGCCATTTGGTCAACTTTAACTTAAGTTATTAATTTAAGTTTACTTAAAATTTAAGAAAAACTTTAAGTACACTTAAGCAAGCTAAAATGTATATCATTCGACGCGCCTTGACGTGCTGAGTTCACTGGTGCTTTTCTTTTTGCTCTATCTTAATTAGATCAAAAGTAATAAGCGAAAAACTTTTGACCTGTTTTTAGCGAAATTTTTACATTTATACCCCCCAAAACCCCCCTAAATATTGACCTAGAGCAACCAAATTTACACAGGGGCGAGAACTCCAGGGGGCCCACCTACCTACCAAATTTGGTGTTTCTAGGTGCCATAGGAGCCAATCGCGAGGGGGGGGGGTCGCATCGACCCCCCCCCTCGCGATTGGCTGCCAGGCCGTGTTATGAAAAATGCCCTGCCAGGGCGATGGTTAAATACCAAAATAAGGTGAAGAGGATACCAAATGCCCTCAAACGGATAATTTTTTGGGCTTTCGTCCCGAAACAACTTTGCCAGCTTCACTTGTCTCCAGTATGTGGTCCCGCTCCGACCTCTCCGCGGTGCTGACACCGACTGAAGCGGCATAGACCCATCCCGGTCACGGCCAGTGGGCGGAGTTTAGTTGGGCCCGGCGCAACGTGATTGGCCAGCGCTCCTATCCAATCCGGTGCGGTAGCGAGCGAGCCTCTATCCGGGTGCAAAAACTGATTAACATTACGAGCCAACGACAAGTGCTCTAAATTTTGATATTTTGTTAAGAGACCATATTGACAAAAATTGGCGCTTGAGCTGAAATATCGTTTGCCAAAATTTCAAGCTAATTGGACAAAAATTGAAGAAATTATCGCCGAAAAGTAGGGTCTCATGGGGTCTGAAATGCATAGATGCATTTCAGACCCCATGAGACCCTGTTTTTTGGCGATAATTTATTTAATATTTATCTAATTGGCTTGAAATTTTCGCAAAGCACATTTCAGCTCAAGCGCCAATTTTCGCTAATATGGTCTTTCAACAAAATATCAATTGTTAGGGTACTTGTCGTTGCCTCGTAATGTTAAAATCAGCTCCGTAAATCCGTCAGTGGAGTAGAGGCTATCCGTACGTAGGTGTGACGTCACAGACACGTGACCATTAAGCTCCGCCCTCCCGGCGGACGGAGCGGTGACCTTGGCCGGTCAGTCGGATGCGTGGAGCCGACGGGGCAGTAGCTGCCGGACCCGAGGCCGTATGCCGGACCGCGGCAGCTCGCATTGGACGTGGCTTCCTTGCGGTTGCCGTTGCAGTAATAACGATACAGCAGAAACTAACGCTCGTAATTAGCACACTAGCCTTCGTTATGGCATTTATCGCAAATTAGCCTACACCATGTCAATCAATAAAGATATGGGTATTGCGTAAGTTACAAGTTCAGTAAGTTCAGGGCTAGTGACTGCATTTTTGCTTGATTTAACGTCATTAAAAAAACGTTGATGTCAACTGACTGTGAACTGATGGAAGACGTCGGTCAGCTTACGTCAAATTTGCAAGACATGATAAACAGTTACCTACACCGTAGCATTTAAGAAATGTGGTTGCAATATGAAATATATTATGCTTATGCGTATGCTTGAGATGGATTCATGCGATTGCGGTGCATCATGAACACCTTCAGAACTAACCCATTTTATAATTGGCTAGATTGAGGTCACCGGACTGACTTGATCCCAGGATTTCGTGTTGAACTACAAATAATTAAAATACCTGTAAGTAAGTAGCCTACTGCCTCATTATTGGAGAGCCTTTAGTTTCACAAAAAGACGCGATTTCTTTACTATAGCCATCTATAGCCAATGCGCTTGTTTCCCTTATTCTGATGTCACATTTCTACCATGCGCAATAAATCGCACATCACATTTCTGCTCCCTTCTCAACGCTTCCCAAATTACGAACACAGCTCTTAGAGCGATGTCTTAGGCAATCGGAAGTGCTCGCAACTCATCATCCTTACTCCGTTGCTTTCTGCATAGGTATAACAGCGTCTTCAGAAACAGCGATTGACGCAACGACAACGCAACGCAGCGATTGAAGCAACAATATCGATATTTTCGAGTAGTGCAGAGGCATCGCATGCCATGGGTGACAGAACAATGGCACGACCTGACCATGAGATAAGCGCCAGAATGTGCATTCATTCAGAATGCATGACTCAGCTCTCTATTTAAGGTTGGTTCTGGGGAGGTTGATATCCTCATTATGAATATGATTATTCTTCATATTCTGAGCTGGATCGGTGTTAATATACCAAAAAAGAGAAGCGGTTACCAACTCCCACAAATGAAGAGCAAACTTTCGCTCAGACACTTCCTGTTGATTCCATGCATGTTTCCAGCGCGCGGCCCCCGTGCGACCTCCCCGCGGTGCTGCCGCCGACTGAGCCGGCATAGACCCAGCGCGGTCACGGCCAGTGGGCGGAGTTTAGTTGGGCCCGGCGCCACGTGATTGGCCAGCGCTCCCATCCAATCCGCTGCGGTAGCGAACGAGCCTCTATCCGGGTGCAAAATCTTATTAGCATTACGAGCCTATGACAAGTGCTCTAAATATTGATATTTTGTTAAGAGACCATATTGATGAAAATTGGCGCTTGAGCTGAAATGTCTAATGTCAAAATTTCAAGCTAATTGGACAAAAATTGAAGAAATTATCGCCGAAAAGCAGGGTCTCATGGGGTCTGAAATACATAGTAGGTACCCGTGTCGGGGAACACAGAAGAGACGTGAGGGGGCACGTGTTAAGTAATGCGATAGTGGTTCATGTGGATGAGGCCGGGCACTTACCAAGGTGGGAAGGGGCTGAAATTTTAGGGAAAGGTATGAACAAAAATATCAAGAGGGCACTAGAGGCTGCACACATCAAGACCAAGAACACACTTAACACAAGAGGGGGATTTTATTCGATGGCAGCAGCGACAGCCAGATTATCCTTGCTGAAACGGAGCACGCTTGTGAGGAACGAACGTGATCGAATGTAAAAACACCGAAATGTCATTACCATGTGTAATTTCTTAATGCTGATGTTATTTTTAAAATGTGATTTGTGACTTCAGGAAACATTTTATATCAATTACTGACGATGACACAGTGTTGTCGAAACGTCTGAAATACAAAAAGATTTAGATTTTAATTATAATTTTCGTTCGCAACTCTTGGCCATCAGACTTTATAAAAATGAAACATGTCTTTCCGCCTCGATCCAGCCTACCTACTCGTAACTCGTTATATAATAAATGACTTTGCGTGGTCGGATCATAAAATTAATCATGAGATAGGGTGCGAATAAATGTTGCGCTTGCCAACGGCTAATACGTAGCCTTGTGTGCTAAATAAATCAACCATACGGTTAGATTTTGTAAGGCCCAACGATCTCGTTTCTTCGAACATCAGGAATTCAGAAGATAACTAAATATTTGAAGTGTTTGAGCAGCCAAATACATCACAGTGCGTTTATTATTCCACCCATCTCTTTGAAGAAGCCCCAGCGCGGACCAGGGACCAGTCCTGGCCACAATCGACGCTGGACAGGCTGCGAAGGCCAGGGGAGGGCCATTCCGGCTCAGCGGCGCCCCCTGCACAACATCGCTCCTGCAGCGCCACCAGAACTGTCCCGGCCGGCAGACGAACTATTAGTTCTGAATACACCCGCTTGGCGTCGGACGCCCGATCCGACGTAACATAATAATCAGCGGCTGCATTTCTTGCTCGCTTATCTGTAGTTTACCGTCGGTCACCCACTCTCCCATTCATGATTTTTCAGGGCTTACTTGACCCTACGGGTACTATGGGTGAGAGGAGCACAAGTGGGACGCACAAGCACCCCGTTCAGGGAGCTTAGATGGCGCTGGGGTCACTGAGGGCGCTGGGGTCACTGATGGCGCTGTGGACGCTGAGGTCACGGGGCCTAGAGGGCGCTGCGGGCGCTATGGGCGCCTTCGGTCGCTGGTGTCGCTGAGGTCACCGGTGGTCCCCAGGAACAGGAGCTCACTCACCAGGCGTTTAGCGGCGGGCGCCTTCGGAGGGTTCCGGTTGGTGCCGTAGTTTTTCATGTATGTGCCACACTCGTTGCAGAGGTAGTGGTTGGTCGAGGCGCGCTGCCACAGCGGGGTGCTGACTGTGCCGCAGTTGACACACTCGCGGCCCTCCTGGTTAGCGGGGTCACCTGGGGGTCAAACGGAGGTCACTCACAGCTGGCAGATACAGTCGACACACTCGCGCAGCTCTCCTGGTTAGCGGGGTCACCTGGGGGTAGCAAAGATGTCACATCACTTACCTTGTTGTTACATGGCCTGCGTGATGGAGTTCTTCAAAATGAAAGACAATATTTCGCATTATTTTTGTCAATGCATTGTCCAAGGTTTCATAAGTATATACTGTGCGAACTTGGTAAAAGTTAATTCTGTAATGCATCATTTCAAGAGCGCCTAATAACAAATATGAATAAAATACAAGTACAAATATATTACATTATAGGTATAACAGTACCTAAAACAAAAGCCAAATGATATGTTGTTTTTGAATAAGCATCGATAACTGCCATAGACTTGAGCGAAATAATCCAACGTTTACTCCAGGCTCAAGAAAAATTTCACCGGAGCAACGGGGTATCATATATCGTACTTATTCTTTTTACTTTTTAGGCTTGTAGAATGTATCGGCAGAAGCCAGAAACAAACGGCTGGGGAAGCATAAAGAACAAATAAACTAGAACAAATGAGGAATCACACCTCCTCTAAAAAGATACCGTATTTTGCTAAGTTTCTGATCATAAATATCAAATAACAGAGTTATTCGTTAATCATTGCTGCCTTAATTGAACCCTACCGAAACGACTCGCCTCCCCCAGTCCGGACACACTCTCCCTGTACTCACTGAGGTCCAGTTTTCGCACGTCGTTGCTGACGTAGGCGGCGTTCACCGTCGACCAGTTGACCGACGGGTAGACGAGGCCGCCCTGTCCGCCGGCGGCCATCGCCTGCGCAGTAGCGCCGAACTCGCCGCACGCCGCCCAGGCCATCTCGTGCTCCTTCGTGGCGCCGGTGATCCTCTGGAAGTCGGGGATCGCGGATGTGTACGGGCTCAGGTCGTACTCCTGTCCGCCGCCGGCGTAGCGCTCGTGTTTGGTGTAGCCGCCGGTGGCCTGAGTGTAGTAGTTGGCCGAGGCGCCGCCGCCATAGCTCAGCAGCGGCTGCACGGAGGTACCGTACGTGTGCAGCGGCGAGCCGGCGCTAGTACCGCCGTTCTGCAGGCTCGAGTAGCTGAGGCCGGCGTCAGCAGCCGAGCAGGAGAGGGCCGGCATGGAGGGAGTGATGGGCCGCAGTGTGGCCATGGCGCCCTGCTCCATATCATCCCCTGCCGAGCTCGGGTACACGATGTGCGGCGTGCCCTCCACCAGCACCGGCTCGACCGGCAGCTGCTCCGTCTTGAAGGCCACCTCCTGGCTGCCGTGGGAGCCGTGGATGGTGACAGTCTCCGAGGAGAACTGCGGAGAGCCGTGACCGGACGAGTGAGAGTACTGCGAGCCGCCGTGCGAGTAGTGAGAGCCCGTGTGTGCCACGTGTGGTGAGCCATGAGAGCCGTGCGTGACGTGCGAGCTGTGAGAGACTGGCATGTCCGCGTCAACCTCCTTCTTCAGGTTCATGTCGTAGGAGGGCAGCTTGTCCATGATGGTGCTGGGGTCGGGCAGCGGCGGCTGCTGCTGCTGCTGCTGCTGCAGCTGCTGCTCGCGGTGCTGCTGCAGCTGCTGCAGCTGGTGGTGCCGCTGCAGATGCTCCTGCTGCTCCTGGTACGGCGAGCTGCCCGACTGCAGCTGGTGACGATGGTGCGGAGATCCGGCCAGCTGGTGCGGAGATCCGGCTAGCTGGTGCGGAGATCGCGCCTGGATCTGATGACGCGGGGATCCTGACGTCATCTGCTGCTGCTGGATCGGCGATCCCGTCTGGATCTGCAGCGCGTGCGGTGATCCCCCGTGGATCTGGTGCTGCTGGGGCGATCCCGTCTGGGCCTGGTGCTGCTGCTGCGGCGATTCTGACTGGATGATCTGCTGGTGCGGCGACACAGGCTGCATCTGGTGGTGATGACGTGGTGACTCGGACGGCACCGACGGTGGTGACGACTGCAGGTGGTGAGGAGACAGTGGCTGCAACTGGTGGTGCTGCTGCGGAGACTGCTGCTGATGCTGCTGCGGCGACCGCTGCTGATGCTGCTGCGGGGACCGCTGTTGGTACTGCTGCGGAGACTGCTGCTGATGCTGCTGCGGAGACTGGCCCTGCTCCTGCTGCTGCTGCGGCGACTGCTGCTGTTGCTGCTGAGGTGACTGGCGAGGTGACGCGCTGTGAGCCGGAGACGCGGCGTTGACCGCTACCTCCGGCTCCGGAGGCGGCTCCGTCAGCGTTACTGAAGTCGGCGACCAGCGCCCCTTCGGCTGAGAGTCGGCCATCACTCTGCGAATGAGAGGGAGGGGAGGGGGAGAGGGACGTAATCACACCGATCGGGTAAGAGGCAGCGGCCAGCGCCTCGAAGGCTGATTAAGAGGCCCCACTGGAACAATTTTGTTTCGTTTAGACAAAGACATGGGCATGTCCTGAATAACTATAAAGCATGTAAATATCTGTCATTGGAGAACATTTCACACTATTGTCGATGAGCCAGTGGCTGATATTTGGTCAAAGAAAACAAAACAATATTTTGCAATTTGAGTTTCATAAACTGAACGATGAACACTAAGCAATGAAGTAATACCGAGTAATAGCGCTCCTTAGATATTTTGCTAATGGATAAGTATACGCTGGCAATCAATTAAAAGAATTTAAAAAGTGTAGAAACACTCGTCATTACAAAAAAAAAAAACAGATAAACAGGAATAGGCAACATAAAATTGATGGCAAAGCAAAGCGACCCAGCAAAAGCGTTGGCTATGCCCGTTCATTTTTTCAGAGGCACCTTACTGACGGGCTCAACGATATCGCAGCACACCAATCACAAGCAGCGAAACGATAAAAAACGGGCCCCTGGCCGCGATTAAAGCGATAAGCTGACATAAACAGGGATGAAGCAAAAAGCTACGCAAAGCCATGGCAGGGTAGCATAAGCAGGATGCAGGCATAAGCGGTGATCTATGGCTAACACGAAGCGATGAAGCGTTGATGACCATGAGCAATTAATAATCGAGTTGCGCTGATTGCTTCACACATGGAGAAAGGAAGGGGAGCCAGTTTAGCCATAGCAAATTTGTTGCCTATGATATGTTTGTGAAATATATCCGAAGTGGACTTCAAATAATGTCGGATCAAGTTACCCGCCACTTCAAGGCTTAAAGCCTTGGTGGGCCAGTTGACTATTGCTCCGCACACAGACACACAAACACACACACAGAGACTGGGGTCGGGCGGGCGGGGTGGCGCGGGCGTGGGACGGTCCGTCAACAAACGAGCCGGCGCGTGGAGGCCATGGCTCACTTTCACACCACTCGGCACATGCCGTTTTTAGGCAAACTCGAGCGAAGTGAGCGGACGGCTGTCGAGCTGGGGTCGGTCACATCGCGGGCGGGGCGGAACCCACGGCGGAGCCCGCAGCGGAACCGCCGCGCGGAACGGCGGGGCGGAACCGGGCCGGTGACTCGGAACGGGCCAGCTCGTCTGGGCTGGAAACGAGTGACCCAGTTGGAGCGACCTCGGCAGGCCGTGCTTAGCTGGCCGGTGTGAAAAGCGTGCACGTTGTGCCGTAACGCAGCGTGACGACTGAGACCGACCGTTTGTGGGCAGGGGGAGGGGGAGGGTGTTGACTCACTAGGTGGTGACGGAACAGAGAGGCCCCAGAAGGTGACACAACTGGGGCGGTTGTCACCAGGGCAGCGAGGATGTGACGATTGGCGAAACTATATGTAGCATACAAGACGTCGTTTACAAAGGTGTAAGAGGAGTCCTCACGTTTACCAGCGTTCGAGCAAAATTTGTTACGAACTCAAATATGAAACAGCAATCTGTAGCAAGTTCTGAATTATTCATTTGGCAATTAAGTAAGGCTATATAGACACCAAATCCCGTTCATAGCAACTCACTTTTCCCAATGGCGTGCATTCGACAGTCTCTTCGTAGCTAGGAATTTCTTTCTTCGAATCCATGCAATAAACTTAGAGCCCATTTTCACGGTGCAGCTTGGAGAACAATTGTCTAAGATTGCACACTCGGCAAAGTAAGGCTCAATCTGTATGAACTGTTTTCACAAACATGAACTGATCAAATCCGTCGTTCAGCACACACTTGGTCGCTCAGATGAGCTCAGTTGACAATGGGCTGACCACTATGACCTCTGACCCCATCCGCCGCCCGTCCGAGCCGGCGGCGACCCCGGCACTGACCCCAGCTGGTCATTGACCTGCCCTCGGGCCACGCGGAGGAACACCAACGCTGGACGGCACAGTATGTCAGCACGGAGAGTGGAGAGAGCGAGGATAGAGTGCCCACGTAGGACTCTAGCCGCAAGGTGGAGTACGAAAAGAACAATACCAACAGGCAGCAGTCGTCTAATGTCTTGAATATTTGAGGTAAGCAAAGTTGCGTGTCAAAGGTCAGGCGAAATTACAACAGTCAGAGTATTAAATGATTTATTTTCTCTTCTTTGACTCGTTGAGACGTGCGCCGCCAGTTGTGAAAAACCGTTACTCAATACTTGCGGTGCCATTTTTGCGCTATGTTCACAATGACGCTATCTACCGCGAGGCTCTTATCTTCCCCTCCCCCGACGCCGAGCAAAGTTCGCTTCAGGACGCCTCACGTGGGAGAGCCTCACTGGGGCCGGGGGACGCCCGCCCGCCCGCCGGTGAACCCACTTAGTCATTCCTATTTTGCAAACTGAGGGACGGGACAGCCGGCTGTTGCTGGTCACCGGGTTGAAAATAAGTGTTTTTTTTTTTAATTTCTGTAGCCAAATGCGAAGTAAACGAATTGTCGTTTTCGAAGTTTGGTTGAGAGCATGTATGTAACAATATCTGAGCTGTCTTGAGAGGTTGAGACAATCATAAAGTGCAGCTGCAATAGATGTAAGTACACCAGTTCTTCAGTACAATTGTACAGGAATGAGCTAACACTAGTCTTGGAATTGGCCGATCATTAAGTGACGCATTAAAGTTTTAGGACATTCCAACATTTCATCAACGAGACCTAAAATTAAATAGGAAGCTCTGCTCAAAGCCATGATTATGAAGACGGCTTCAAACAATCAACACTAGAACCGCAAAACGCTGTTTTCAGTTTCAAATAGAAGCGTGCTCTAGTTCAGTCGCTCTCCACAGATGTCGCCGACTCCTTGGGTAGCGGGGCACGACTCCCCTCCTCCAGCCCTAATCCCCGCCCCAGGCGGGACGCTGCATTCCACGGCCGGCTGGTTCTGGCGAGGCCCCGCCGAGTGGGCGACCGACGCCGCCTGAGTCACACTCAGCCACCGCCACTCAGTAGAATGCTGAAGCCACTCCCCCTCACTGCAGCTGGCCACGAGGGCACAGGTTCAGCTAGAGTCAGAGCGACCATACAACATGATGCAACCATGTAGTGGTGAAAGTTTTGACGAACTTCACCGTCATCCGGTGTAGTGTTGTCCTGTACATATGTACAGCGGCGAAATCGCAGAATACTCACATCGATCTCAGTACTTTATATAAATCGACTAACGACTTACTCTGATAAAGATGCATATGAAGGCTGAAAAGGTAGGCAACTATAAAGGATCATATCATGCTCATATTGCGTGCACATACTAGTCTACGGTTGCACATGCTCCCCTGGTGTGGCCTCCATCATGCGTCATTTGCCCAGTTCCGTCAATTCATGCTTGCTTGTCCGACGACGCTTTCCCGGCGCAGATTGTTGTCGGGCCTCCGGGGCTTGCCACGCCCATGTAACAGCCGCTGCTACTGAGCTGTCTCCGTCCGTGAGACAGCGTGTGCTACTGCTGCCCGCACCCATTTGACAGCTAGCGGTGTCGCTGTCGTGTGGGTTTCTAAACCTAAACCTGCACTTACTCGTCGATGTCTTCCAGCGTCAGGACGGGCAGCGGGGCACTACTGATCCGCTGAGGTGCCGGCGGGGCCCCGGCGCTGGGCCCGGCACTGCCCAGTCGGGCCCGTGGGGCCCAGAGCACCGTGGGGCCCATGGTAATCGGCGCGGCCGGTGGCACCCATGGTCCCGCCGGGAGGGTCGGCATCGGTTTAGACCTAAAATAAAGCTTTGTGTTTTTGTGCCTGGCCGAGTATTCGCAATTATTGCGGGAACATGTAACAGAAGTCAGAACATTCGAGAATATAGGATAAGTATGTAGTTTTACGGTTTTCCAGCAAAAGAGCCGACAGCCGACACGTTTTTGGGATAGGAACATTAAATGGCACAGACGCTCCAATAAAATGACTTATTGAAAAGAGAGGTGTTTTGTGTTAACACTTCGGCAACATTCTTAGAAGAGGTAGGGTAGCTTAGGTAATACATGATGTCAGACAGCCACACCAGGCAAAAAGACAAAGCTGAGAGCCCCTAGCCTAACCCTTTAGCCAGGACAGACGAAACTGAACACCCGTGACCCTTGACGGACAAACTGAGCACTCACCGACCCGGACAAAACCAAAACAGCGCTGCTGTGAAACGATATCTATCGATGGCTGGAAGTATTTAAGTCAGCGCCGAATTGGTGGGCGTGATATATAAATTCCTATAACTGATTTAAAGAAATTTTACTTCCACGATAGTGAACGATGACAGGCGCCGTTCCACCTTCGGTTTGGATTTACAAATATGTTCAGCGACTGAACGTGAGCCTTATCATAACGATATCAATTTGAAAAACGTAGGTGATAAGTGGACGATTTTGTTGGATAAATAATCGCAAACCATAAGCAAAAAGACAAACAGTTAACAATCATGCGCATATTGTATCATCTTTTATATGGATACATTTGCAATATCGCCGTTTTGCCACCAGTTAGCCAGTCAGGTGATACTGACCGGTCTCGCTGTCACCGGTGCCGCGCCCACTCACCAGTTGGGATCGGCAGGAGCCCGGTCCACCGGAGCGGACAGCAGCACCTCCGCGGGCACGTGCGCAGTATGGTCGTGCTCTTCCAGGAGCGTGACCAGGTCGCTCTTGTTATTTGGTTCCGCTGGTGGCATCTTTACACGGCGAGCGCTTGGGCACTTGGCTGGGACGGCCGAAATTTCTAAACGACACAATTTTTGTCGTTATGTTTGACATGAAAATTCGGCAAGCTTCCCAGATAAAGCTAACTTAAAACAAAGCAAACGGTTGATACGGGATCTAATTTACAAAGAAAAACGGTGAGACAAATGTTAAATGGCGCACGTTTGAAAGAGCTAGACATCGGGCAGCCGCTTTTGAGCAGCAATATGCCTATGTAATTTTCAGCTGATCAAAAGTGCGAAAAGCTGAGTCCACGTCCACGGAACTGATAGTTTAGAAACACGTGAACCATTTTTGATAGGTCTGTTTCAGATAACTTGACTAGCAAGAGCTCCTTTCTTTCCACAGAGTGCCCAAGAACGCCATTTAGGCTGGAACAATAAATCCCATTCGAAGAATAGCGAAAGCATGAGTAAAGGTAGCATATAACAAGAAAGCATGCGTAAGAAAAAATCATCACCACGCACAGCACAATAAACAGCACGTTCCCCCTTATACGCTTCACCAGAACATCACTGTGAAAATTAACAAAAAAAAATATGTAATTGAATCTTAAGAAGTTTCCGATATACGCCTCCCTCCATGCAACGCCAATAAGATATTTGTTTATTGTTGGGCTGTTCTTTGTTTGCTAAGAAGCCCATTGAAAAGGATTCACCATGTGATGATGTAATCGTGACGTGTTCTCTGTTACGTACCATGACTATTGACTATCCACCTTTATGCCTTTTTTGTTCAGCGTTGATATGTTTCACATTACATTTTCTGACGTAATACCGGAAAAGCCAAGATGTGGATTTGTTTTAACTAATCGTTTTTACATCCAAGATAAATCTGTTCCAGATGATATGTTGTTGAGTACTCTCGCGAGGAACATCTTGTTATGATTAAGTATAATATTTGTTATGACCTTTTCCTCGGATTAAGAAATGTAAAAAAGTCGACAGTGATGTGATGTATTATAATTTCTAATGAGCGAATTTTCGCCCACAGGACATCGTCAGACAAGCAAAAAGCAAATATGCTATTATAGCAAATATGCATATGTCTGACGATGCCCTGTGGGCGAAAATTCACTCATTAGAATTCATCACTTCGACTTTTTTACATTTCTTAATTCGAGGAAAAGGTCATAACAAATATTATACTTTATCACGAATCTGTTTCAGCTCAATAATAGCAGTAGTTACATTCATATTTACTCAACCGTTTAACATATTGAGCAAGTCACTCGCCAAAAATGACATGTTTTAATCAACCCTTCATGCGTGTCCAAAGAGGGTAAATAACGTCAAATATGATCTTTTGCAGCTGAAGTGTGACAGCTAAGTGTGGACTATCTCTTGGTAAGAAATAAGAAGGTATGGTGTTGAAATCAATCGATACTGTCTGAGTGCTTCTTAGGAGGGAACGACGCCATTTCTTTTTGCGAAATCAACTGTGTCAATCTAACCGAATGAAATGTGACACGCTGAGTTTTGTTGCATGGTCGTCCATTTAGTTGGCCTTTAATAATGATTTGGCTTGATGTGCAGCTTTGGAATAAAATATAAAATATAAACAGTGCCTAATATAGAGTCGCAACTGAATGGAAATTAGCAACAACCAAAATAAAGGTAACATGTTGCATGCAGTGTCACTGTCAATAGGAATTGTACTTTTGGAGCCTCGAAATTCTTGCAACGTCTAGTGCATGGACGTTCGACGTGCTCTGCACGTGCACAGACCTCAGGCAGTAGTTAGATCAATCACCTACGTATGTAATATTAACAATCTATAGACCATAGCTTCAAAAAAAAAACTTACAGTGAAAGATCTTTTTCTGATGAGGGGAAGTGTTGGACAGATGAAATGGTTGGACCATTTTTGTGACACGCAACTGGGAAAAGATGATTGGAATCGAACCAAACAAATGGCTATCACTTTATGAAACTGAGATCACTTGAGCATGATTATTTAATGTCGACGGCTATTTAATTTATGCATCACTGCTGGACTTGCGTTTTGCCTCAATAGTACAGCAGCAGTCATATTATTTAGTGCGGTCGCGCCGTTTCACCCCGATCACGTCACTCGCCAACGCGCTACAAGAACCCGGTATTTCCGAAGATCATTATGATCTCAATCATCTTGGCAATGAAGTAAAAGCAACAGATAATTGTTCAAGCATGTGTGATTGTCAGCTACTTCCCACTCAAACGGAAGCTCTGTCAGCCGGTATCTCACGGCTCGAAATCAGAGATGTTCCTGCAATCATCTCCATTGAGATAGACCGGCTCGCGCGCCACTGACAGGGCAGATAGTTAGGCCGAATATCTCGGCATGATATAGAATATCTTGTCGCAGCGAAGTGCTGGAACAGTCGATAAAAACGAGGGAGATAGACGCGAGATACACGCGAAAAGTACGATACGATAAACTGAGTAAGATATGGATAACGCTCAGATACCGACTGCAAATGTTTATTAACGCCGCCACGGAGCTGCGTTGGACCACTCTGGTCCGGGCGGAGTTCCAGGCACCACCAGCTCGGGGTCTCTCAGCGTGCAAGACGCTCCACTCACCGGAGATACAGGCGTGTCCTCAGAGATACAGCTCTCTCCGCGATACCACGGGCCAGGCGATCAATTAGCACTAATCTCAGCCGCCCGCGCGCCGCCGCCGCCGGCCGGCCGGCAAAATGGGCGGCGATCACGTGACACAGCGCCGGCGAACGCCGCGCGCTGATTGGCCGCCGCAGGGCTGAGCCGCATATGCCGCAAATCAGCTGAATTTTACGGCGGCACTAAAGCGCCAAGGGCGCTATCACTGAGCAAATATGGCCGCCGCGCCGCCGCCGCGCCGCCGCCGCGGACGGCGCCGCGGACGGCGGGGCGGTGGACCTGATGACCCTAGCTCAGCGGTGGGTGGCGTCACCGCATGCCGGTGGCAGAGGGAGCGAACTCAGCACGAGCCGGTCCCAGGGGGGATTAGTGGAGCCGATAGAGGCCAGACGCCGCTCCGAATTGGCGCCATAAGACAAAGAGGTGATCGAAAAGCGGGCGGCCTTGCCGCAATCGACGGTGTTAGCTCTACTATTCGGCATCGGAGACTAACAGAACAACGTACTGTTTTTTGACTAACAAAAAAAAAATCAAATTTTCATCGATTTTCATCGATTCATCGAGGCAAATTTTCATCGGCAAATTTTCTGCCCTGGCCCTTCAGGGCAGGAAACCATTTGCCATTGGCGCCAAATGCCTGGTTCCACCACTGTTCAAAAAACGGCATCCCACGATTTCATAACTGGCATCTGTCCTTCCGCTCACCGTGTTCAGACAGGTAGCCCATCGTCATATTTGCAAAGTCATATTGATAAAAAAGAGATGACCCATGGGCAATGGACAGTGAAAGTCTAGCCGGCGACTGTACCGGCTGCAGAACGCTCAGGTCGCCAGATGCCGTTAACGGGGCGCAGACAGTAGCGGCGGAACACCTTCAATTAAGGGGGGAGGGGCACTGCCGACTTTTGGTCCCATTCTTTCCATGCAGCGCCCATAGGGCTAATAATAAAATGCCAAAATCAAAGGGGGCTTTCCGCCGCCTATGGGCGCAGAGACGTTACGTCAAATATTTGAGCAAAAGGACACCTTTACTGACGTCGAAACTTAAGTCCTAACATTATAAGGTCATTGGCGTTGCATGGAGGCAGCCTACCACACATTCAACCCTACACATGTTCACGGGGGTATACACGGGAGTACAGTGGCTCAGCATCATCAGTTGCCATCAGACATGTGCATGGATCCGAGTGATGGATCTATGATCTCAGTGGATCTCGAAGCAAAGTACTGGTTGGGATCTATGATCCCACCAGATCCGGCGTGAAAAATACATCTTGGATCTATGATCTCATATGATCTGACGATAAATTAAGAACATGGATCTATGATCTCAGTGGATCCCACCATGCACCACATTTGAAACCATGTTTAAAGGGTTTCTATGCCAATAAGTGACACAAAACTATGGATTATGACGTGTGATCACATAAAATCACTAAAACAGAACGTTTGTGAGTTGAAACAAGTGCTTTTTTGGGATATATGTGTTAACAACAAATAAGTGAGGATCTATGATCTCACTGGATCTCAAGCAAAAAATGAGACTCTGGTCTGTGATCCCAATGGATCTCTCGATAAATTACAGAGCTGGATCAATGATCCCGACGGATCCGAGATCAGGATCCGTGGGATCAGATCCCAGATCCATTTTCTCGGATCCATGCGCATGTCTGCCTGCCATCAAGTACAGACTACAGTGACTGGTAGACTACAGTGGCACTGTTCACCATTCACTCAGTCCAGGCTACACAGTGCCGTAACTGCCGAGCCCAGAGTGCCTGATTCCACAGAGCTTTTTAAGAACTAGTTACTGAAGCACCGCCGGCTCCTCAGCTCTCGCCAACGCTTCACCTCCCTGGCCAGCTAAAAGAACTGACCTCGACCTGGCTCTCGACAGCTGAAGAAACCGACGCCTGACTGTCTGCAGGAGCGCTGAAGTAACCCAGCAGTGTCTGGTGGGTCTCTTGAAGAGCACTCTTCCACACGTCCGGCGTCTCCGGCGGTCCTCCTCAGAGTGTAACGGTCCCCTTCTGGTGGCCCCCGGTAGGCCCTCTGGTAGCCTTCCCCTTCCCATACCCTCCGCCGATTGGCCTACTGGAAGGAGGGTGGCCGCCAGCCCCCGGCGTCGGCCGAAGGACCGTTCCGCGCTCCTTCTGACGCGGGGGGAGAGCATGCCGCACCAAGCGAAGAACTGTTGCTAAGATCGCTTCAGAACTCTGGGTTTTTCCTAGCAGTTATGAGGGGCCTTGCTGAATTGAAGTTTTCTTGCTCCCTCTAACATGTGTTCTTCGCCTTTGCCAGGACGAAGATTCAATCGGCCTGGTCCAGCCACTCGCATATGACAACACATTGGCAATGTGCCCTCTCTTTATTTGTGCGATTTTTAGATGGCCTGTCTCCCCGAACACATAGGTATATGCTGTCGAAAGACACGCCTATCCCTGAGCACTGAGCAGTGAGAGCAGCTTCCCCGTGGCCGCCGGCCCGCCTCCGAATGCAGGAGGATTAGGTATCCACTTCCAGATGTCATCAACACCGACACAGTTTTGGCGCCAAAAACAAAGACGTGAGCTGACCAAGCGCGACGGTAGTGAGACTCTCAAGTCTCAGTATAAGACTTTCTGAAGAATGATGAGTTGTCACTTGGTCATGCTCAACAGACGAAAACATCCATTCTCGCCTATGTAGACTCATCAAAAGACTTCCACAGAAGCCTATAACTACCTTCAGATATCGGCCTGCTACAGTGATGCGACTTCCGCCACGAGTTACATCAATTTAAAAATCATCCGTTACCTCTGGCATATGCCTTCCGTCTCCGTGCCTCCTCTCATTCATGCGTCACATTTCTCCTGTGAGTGTTAAATACGGCTAGAGCTTCTAGCTCTATTCCAGCGCCAATCAAACTCTAGCTTGATCATTACTGCTTTACAGCGAATCCTTAGCAACGTAATAATCATAGCATTGCTCAAGGATTCCCAGTTCGACCTATAGGTATATGAATTATGATCCCGTTCCTTGCCCGATGCCTACTCCATTTGAAACTTCACAGATATCAGCTCTAACTCTAGCATTAGCGTTGCATGGAGGCAGGCTGGGTTAGCACGTACATTTTTCGGCCAATTCAAATGCACGAACGGTTCGGCATCATCAGCAACCAGTAACCACCATCACATACGATTGCACGTATTCCTTAAACAACAGAATAACTATTAACGAGCTAAGATAGAACATTACCTTCGCTCGGCTCTCGACAGCTGCAACCCTGATGCCGTGTGCTGAAGCGTTTCAGTCAGACAGCAGCCTCTGGTTGGCCTCTTGGAGAAACACTCTTCGATACGTCTGGCGTCTCCGTCGGTCCTCCGCAGATAACGGTCCTTCCTGGTAGCCTTCCCCCCCCCCCCCAGATCGACCTACAGGGGAAGGAGGGTGCAGCCGCCAACCACCGGCGTCAGCCGCAGGACCGTTCCACGCTTCTTCTGACGCAGGGGAAGAGCATGCTGTACCAGCCGTAGGCGTCTTCACTGGCTGTGGACCAGAGTCTGAACAAGGTTTTGATATGCGGCTGCTAGTTGCTGACTAAGTAATCAGCATCAAACTCATTTGTGATGCCTTTTAGTGTAGATAAGCTGAGTGACCGACCCCTGGGTCATGCAATCATCTCTTAACTCATGAACGTTTTTCTTGAATAACTCATGAACCGCTTACGCTATCTACATGAAACTTGGCATACCTTCTTCCCCATCAATTTGACGTCTCCTGTGCAATTTTTAAGGAAAAATTTGCAAAAATTTTTGAGATATATCGATTTTAGTGATGTAACTACATAGCGTTTTCCGTCGACCGGCCCTTGCAATGTCGCAGGGCCGGTTGGCCGGCCGGGCCTGCGGCGCGCCGCTCAAGCGAGCCGGCGCGTCGCAGGCCCGGCCGGTGACAGGGGCGCTGCCCCGTGGCATGTGGGACGCGGGGCGGCGCGGGCGGGGGTGCGGCGTGCATTGCATGTTTGTATGATATCTGTTTTGTGTTGTATTTATGGTGTGGTATCTTTTGCCAATAAATTTACAAAAATTAAAAAAAACAGCGTTTTCAGTCAAAAAATGGTAAATGTTTAAAAAATCGCCAAAAATCGAGGTTTTAAGCAAATTGCAAATTAAGGACATGAATAAACGCAGCTCAACGAGTTCTTATAAATGCTTATCTCGGATGTTCCATAATATGCGTTTTTTACCCCTAAAAATTCAAAAAACTATATTTTTTGGAAAACAGCTAATAAAATCCAAAATTTTGGGAATTTCCAAAAAACCGGAATATATGTTATAGAGCTCTATTAGAACATTAGATGTCCCAAATTTCAACTTTTTATCTTGATTTTTGACCCCAAATTGTAAAAAAATAGCTCCAACATGCATAGGAGAGAGTGGGGTAATTTGGCCGCTTTTTTTAGAAAACGATGTAACTAAAAATCGACAACACATTCCTGCATTTTCTCAACGCTGACAGGTGTGGCATACATTTTACTTTCTTGGACTGTAAACTTGAAATGATTGAGTAACTACTTGTATTGAAATTGTGGCGTATTACAAAGGTCTGCAAAGCGGCCAAATTACCCCACTAGCAGGGTTATTTGGCCGGGGGTGTGGGGCAATTTGGCCGGTGTTAGTTTGAGGCCATGACTTTTGTTATAGGCGAGTCAGCTTCGCATTCAGCAATGACGCGTGTCCTACGACGCATTTGAAGTATTTTGGAGGTTGACTCAGCCGTCACAGGGGTCGAAAATAGTCAAAATAGCGGCTCTAGATGCGATGACAGTTTTTACGAATAACTTTTGAAGTAATCAAGTTAGGCCAAAACTAAAAGTACCATCGTAATTCTCTCGTCGTTACGCATCGAAACATGTATGTGTTGACCTCGAGAGGTCAAGGTCAAGGTCAAGGTCGAGGTTGGCTTCAGGTCACGTTACCTCAGGTCGCTTGACCTCAATGTTTCGTGAGTTCAAGGTCATCATGTATATCATTCGATGCGCCTTGACGAGCTGAACACAATGAGGCCATTTGCGCGGCTGTATCTTTTTTCTGTAAGTATTTATTAGCAAAAAAGCGTTAGGTAACCTTTGATGACGTCACATGCCCTTA